CCCTCGGGTCCGCCTGGAGCTGGAGCTGCTGCGGGTGTTGGTGCTGAGACTGCTGCTGTCCTTCCTGGCGGTGGCCCTGCTGCGGGTGCTGCTGGTGCTGCTGGAGGTCCTCCCGCTGGAGGTGCGGTTGGCGCTGGTGCTGCTGCTGAGGGTGCTGTCCCTACTGTGTCTGGAGTCGCCGCGCGGCCTCGGCCGTACTTCGTTCCCCTCCTACAGCAGGTTCTTGGTCTTTCTCCTCCTGCAGCGTGTCCACTGCCTGTTCAGTCACAGTCCCAGTTAGAGCCCGCCTCCCCACTTCCTGCTCCCTCTCCTTACACTGGTCCCACTGGAGGTCTTGCTGAGCGTCGTGAGCCTGCGTCTCGTCCTGCGTCGCCTGTTCGTGCTGCTCGCGCTAGTGGTCGCGGTTCGCGTCAGCGTCCTCCTCCTGTCCCTGGCACGCACCGGATGTCTTTGCGTCCGTCCACTGCTCCTCTGCGTGCCCCTTTGCCTTCTCCTCCTGAGTCCTCCCTTCCTGCACTTACCGACCCAGAGTCCGACTCTCTTCGTGCTGCTAGTCCTACTGCCCCACGTCTCCTTGCTACTGTCGTCACTGACCCCTCTTTTGAGTCCACTGATGCGTCTGCGCTTGTTGCTGAGCTCGTCGACTTTGCTGCTCGCTGTCGTCTAGACTACGCTGCCGGTCTTGTTGCTGAGTCTGCGTCTGTCTGTCCTCCGTCCGTCGGGGGTGAGTGTGCTCTTGGCACGGACGTCCTTGAGGACAGGCAGGAGGAGTTCCAGTGTCTGGCTGCTGCTTCACCTCATCTCGCGTCCGTACTACTTGCCCCTGAGGGAGACCCGGATGCACTAGACATCCCGACTCCGCGCTCTTACGCGGAGGCCGTAGAGGGTCCCTACTCCTCTCAGTGGCAGGCAGCTATGGATGCAGAGATGGCGTCCTGGAAGTCCACAGGCACCTACGTTGACGCGGTTCCCCCTCCTGGGGCGAACATCGTCAGTGGCATGTGGATCTTCAGGGTGAAGCGGCCGCCGGGCTCTCCACCTGTCTTCAAGGCGCGGTACGTCGCTCGTGGCTTCAGTCAGCGGCAGGGAGTTGACTACTTTCAGACCTTCTCTCCCACCCCGAAGATGACCACTCTTCGGGTGCTACTGCACATAGCCGCTCAGCGCGACTACGAGCTCCACTCTCTTGACTTCAGCACTGCTTTCTTGCAGGGTAGCCTGCACGAGGAGATCTGGCTGCGCCGTCCACCTGGCTTCACTGGGACTTTCCCTCCTGGCACCCAGTGGAGCCTCCGACGGCCAGTCTACGGTCTCCGCCAGGCACCGCGTGAGTGGCACGACACACTGAGGACTACGCTTGCGGCTCTTGGGTTTGCTCCCTCTACTGCTGACCCGTCGTTGTTTCTGCGCACCGACACTTCTTTGCCGCCGTTCTACATCCTCGTGTACGTCGACGACTTGGTCTTTGCCACAGCTGACACTGCTGGACTAGCCTACGTGAAGTCCGAGCTGCAGAAGAGACACACGTGCACAGACCTGGGTGAACTGCGCAGCTACCTTGGCTTGCAGATCACTCGGGACAGAGCACGCCGCACCATTACCTTGACTCAGTCACACATGGTGCAGCAGGTCCTTCAGCGCTTCGGCTTCACGTACTCCTCGCCTCAGGCCACTCCTCTGTCTACTCGCCACTCGCTCTCAGCTCTGCCTTCGGATGAGTCCGTAGAGTCGAGTGGCCCGTACCCAGAGCTTGTTGGTTGCCTCATGTACCTGATGACCTGCACACGACCTGACCTTGCATACCCTCTTAGCATTCTTGCACGCTATGTTGCTCCTGGGAGACACCGACCAGAGCACATGGCTGCAGCGAAGAGGGTGTTGCGCTACTTGTGCAGTACGTCGGGCATGGGGCTAGTGCTTGGAGGGCGGAGTCCAGTGGTCCTCACTGGGCACGCGGACGCTTCTTGGGCTGACGACCAGGCTACGCAGCGGTCGTCGCAGGGTTACACCTTCAGTCTTGGTTCCGGCTCTGTCTCGTGGCGGGCTACACGCTCGTCCTCTGTTCTCGGCTCCAGTTGTGAGGCTGAGATCTACGCCGGGGCCATGGCTGCACAGGAGCTTCGCTGGCTCACCTACCTGCTGACTGACCTAGGAGAGCCGCCTCGTTCTCCTCCAGTGCTGTACGTAGACAACAAGGCCATGCTGGCCTTGTGTCGAGAGCAGCGCTTGGAGCACAGAACGAAGCACATTGCTCTCCGTTACTTTCTTGCTCGTGAGCTGCAGCAGCGTGGTCAGTTGCGACTTGCGTACGTGGCCTCTCAGGCCAACACTGCTGATGTGTTCACCAAGGCACTTGCGCCTTGTGACCATCAGCGCTTCTGCACTCAGCTGGGTCTTGTACCTGTCTTGCCTCACTTGCTCTCCTCTTGACCTTGCTTGTACTGTCACATATATATACCTGCTCTTGCTTGTCCAGCTCTATATATATATGTGTGCACTCCTGCATGTGAACTGGCCTTGTGGCCTTGTCGTTGTGCTCGGACTGTGTGGTGACTTTGTGATCCACCCTGAGCTTGCTGTGCTTTGTGTGACTGGTCTTGTGACCCCTTGTTCTCCCCCACTTTGCCTATGGGGGTGTGTCAGAACAAACATATAGCTTATGCTGTTGTGTAGGCTATAGTGGGGTATCCCATAGGGGGTACAACCCAATTAGGGTTTCCTATATGTACTCACTTCATTCATAGTTCATCCATTTCGCTTTCTCCTTTTCTCAACGGGTACCAGTACCTCAATAGCTCATATAGAGCACACGGAAGGTCGAGAGTCACCCGAAGGTCAACAATCGAAGACAGTCAACGGCCGTGACTCTTGACCGACCAGTAACCGCACTACAGTTAATCGCTGCAACATGGTAACTGTCGAGAATAACAATGGTCGTGGTTACTATAGTCATGCAAAACAGTTAATATGGGAATGTATCCCTCAGAGTACATGGCTAGCTAGTTTGCTATTTTAACCCTTGTACTTCTATCCTATAATCATCTTGTTTTCTTTCAACTTATTAACAATGTCACTATTAAGACTCAATTGTCTTCTCTCAGACTTCACAGGTTTATCCTATCCACTTCGATCCTTCAGTTATAACATCACTCGCTGCATTCATCTTCGCGTTGAAACTCAGTTACCTCAGGAATTTTTTACAACAATGCCATATCGTAACAGCTCGCAACAACGCATTACTGTTTTCGCTATAAACTATTTGCTCATGCCTTCTGTAATAAACTGAAGTGCTTGTAGAACTCCAGCAGTATTAATTGCTTCTGGATTGCCTGGATGTGATACTTGTGAAGGGTGACACATGTCGGTGCTTCGAATCACTTGGCGTGCGAAGCCTCCCTACGCCACCGACAACTCCCTCCGTCAACCTAGACGTCCCACCGCATGCCGGTTCTGGTATTTGGCGAAGGTAGTGACTAGTGCAATGTGTGACCACCCAAGCCAGTCGGGTTACAGCAGTGTCAGATATGTCAGTTCCCGAAGACAGAAACTTGTTGGCGAAGCTTAGCGTGTCGGCGATTTGCGAAGGCTGATCGGGCACCTGCTCACCAGCTTCGAAGAAAGTATGCAAATGGCGACAGTCAATTTTTTCTCTTGTGGAGGCTGGGACACTGAAGAAAACGTCGTCTTCCCTTGTCGTGGACTTCACCATGCAGCACTCACACTTCCACGATGCGGTTATCAGTCGCACATATCACGCTGAATGTCGCACAAGAAACGTAAACCGTCCGATTTTCGATGTCGTGCCCAGTTTGACATCTCTCCGCCCATCCAACCCTCCATCGAGTCGTGTACACAAGATGCCCAACCCCTGCACGCGAATTTGCTCTGCCCGCGATGGAAACTCTGCACCCGTGTATTAGGGTACCAGGAAGTTGCACCCCATTTATAAGCACCTCGAGCAATACGAACCACAAAAACCGAAGTTTGACAGAAGAGACCCATGTCAAACGGTCAACAGCGAGTTACAAAATCTTTTAAAAGCCCTTTTTGCTAAGTGCGAATTGACGAAAGCTTAGCGAAATGCAAGAATCACTTAAGAGCCCAATAGCAAGGCAACCTTGGGTTAGTCAAACGGGCATCGTGTGTACATGGTTTTGGAGTGCAAGGTCAGCTCCGTCCATCATGGCTCGCTCGGCCGTGGACCTGGTCGTCATCGAAGTGTCAACCATGTTTGTTGAAAGCTGAAATGAACGATATTTTACGGGCAGTGTGTATTTAACCCGAAATGAACACGTCGAGTTCAGCTAGCTCGAGCTCCCATCACTTAACTCGAGAACTGACCCTTGATCATGCAGGAAGCCCATGCATGTCACTTAGCATAGCGGAGGCATGACTCACGACTCAGAAAGTGCCCGTGAAATACCATCTATCAAAAGTGTCGCGACACGGCGAGCCTCCCATCGCTCGCATGTTGAGGATTCCTGGTATCGTCGCCCAAATCGCCTCCCTTTCCCCATCACCCTCACGAATCCGCTCTCCAGTGCCAGTCAAACCCTTGCCCAGTCTGCTATACACCTCCGCCCTCCCTCCGTCCATCCTTCACTTGCTTCGCTGTAGAATTTCTAGAAGCTGTTGACGTTGGCTCCATTGCCAGCATCACTACTTTCAAGTAATCTGGACGGGGGACGGGCCGTCGTTTACCTAGCCGACTATTTTCCGTCGTCGCATGTTCGTCCAGCTTTACATTCAAACACCGTCACTCCAGCTCGTGTTTGGGGTAGTGCGCCGCATTTCAGAAGTACCGCGTACGTCCGGACCGAAGCATAAAGCGAAGCATCTTTCACAGCCATCTCATTCAAGAGTGTGCGAAATTGACATCCCTACCCAGCTTCAGACAACCTAGCAATCGTCTCGCAGCCTATAAGTGAATATTCCGGCCCAGTAGCCGCTGTTAAGTACAAAACGAGCGCTTTTCTGAGTTCACTTGCCTAGTCGATATTATGGCGCAGCCAGGAAATGCAGCAGCAGCACGAGTCTCTCCTCTAACGCAGCAGCAGCAGCCGCAGCAGCAGCAGCACAGCTTCGACCGCCGCGACAGGCGCGCGCAGTCGTTAGAATCGCAGAGGAAGCGCGACAGGGCCTCTGGTTTCGACCTTGACGCCTCGTCCGAGTCTCGCGCCGCCAAGTCCGCTAGAACCGGCGCCTGCGCTTCGAGTCAACCTTCCTCCTCCTCCACTCGCCCTTCCTCCTCTCAATCGTCCCCCAGCTCCTCCTTCCCCTCGGCCTCCCTCTCGTCTCGCGCGGTGGACATGGGCGGGGAGGAGTGGAGAGGGGTGTCGGAGGAGGCAAAGGGGTTGGTGCGGTGCCTGCTGCAGCGGGATCCCAGGAAGCGGTCACCTGCTGGGAAGATTATGACTCACCCGTGGATCCTGCTTAACTGCCTTGGTGGGAGGATTCTCAGGCAGCAGCTGGCGAAGAAACCCACTGCTGCTGGCGCGCCTGCTTCTGCTGCTGTTGCTGGAGCAGGAGCGTCGGCCCACGGTGCTAGTGCTACCGCTGCAGCCAGCTCACCTGCTACTCACTCAGCGCCAGGAGCAACAGCAGTAGCAGCAACAGCAGCGGCACCTGCACCACAGCCACCAGTGATAGTGATCCAGCGGCAGCAGGTAGTGCTGGCAGCAGCTCCACCTGCCACTGCCAGCAGCCCATCTGGGATTCGCGTGTGAAGCGCTGACTTACGAGACGTCTCAAAAGTCATTCTTCGCTCGACTGCGCCTGCTCCTGCCTCCCAATAAAGGCGGTGCCAATAATCCGCATCATGCAACTGACCCTCCGAGACTCTCCGGGTGCTCGTTTCCTCATGCAGCTGCTCTTCCTCTCCCCTTCCAATCCAACCCAGCTCCGTTACCTCATCACGGCTCCTCTCCCGCCTTTCAGCCCGACTCCTCTGCCTAATCGTTACTCTTCTCTCTTACTTGTCGGATCCTACGGGCATCAGCATGCCCTATGGCAACACAGGGGGATGCCAAGTCAAGCCTCATGAGCACAGCCGGCAGCAGCTAAACCCACCTGAACCCGCACTTCATGCCTCGGTGCAGTGTCAGGGCTTGTGGAAACTGCTCGGCTACAGTAACACTGATCTACACCACCAAGTATATAATCGCTCTTGGTTGGTGTACAGTGTGACCTGGTTACACTGTGAGGCTTGGCTTGGCATGTTTCCTGCCACTGGTGCATGCTGCGAAAGGACTGCTTCATTATGTGTGCAAGGTACAGTACCAGTACAGGGCGATGTTGATGTACCTGTTAAGCAGCCGCTAGTCATTCCTCCCTAGACGAATTCTTCACATAACTTTTCTGCTAGTACATACTGCTGCAAGAGAACCTTTTGTAGTTTGGCCTGTGCGCTGCACTGCTTGTGCACAACTGTCTGTGTTCCCAATATTAGACCGACCTTGTGTACTTGTGTGTTCATGTGTTTTGTCAATACCTTAGTTGCTTCACTTCGTAAGTTCAACTTCCATCGACCTAGGCTTGTCTATGATAATCTCAGCTTGTTGTTACGAGTGCAATTGAGTGAACGAACTAGAATTGCACTATCGAAGCAAGAGTACAATGAGCGAAGGCATGAGCGAAGAATATATAGCGAAACTACAGTGGTAACGGTAATGGACTGTGGTTGTCGCGCGACTGGCCTGGGACTGAGGTTGGGAAAAGTGTCGAAGCGGAGGCCCGGAGCGCGGGTTACCCGCCGAGCCGTGAGGACGGGGTGCGACGTGCGAAGGTGGCGGGCGGATTGTCGATGCGAGGATTGCGAGTGGTAACGGTGCTGACTGTGGTGCTACAGTGATGTACGCGTTGAGCAGGGACGCGAAGTAAGGAAAAAGAGATTTTCCTTACACTACCCCCCCCCTTAAGGAGGTCCTCCTTACGAAAGCGCGTGTACATCCCTGAAATTCCGGCTGCGCAGATACTCGGTGAGGACGGGGTGGTTTTCGATTCTGTCCAGGGGAACCCAATTGTCTTCGGTGGGTGTACGGTCCTTCCAGCGGAGTAAGAACTCGATCCTTCGGGCTCCTCGAGGGTCGCGAACTCTGTGACTCAGGATTTTCTCGGGGGTGATGATTGGTTCAGTCGGTGGTCTTGTCATGCTGGCTGGGCGATTGCGTGGCAGTTGGCTCGTGGACGGGACGTAAGGGCGAAGCAGGCTGACGTGGAATGAGGGGCTGACGTACCAGTCAGCAGGGAGGAGGAGGTGGGCGGTGACAGGTGTAAGCATGTGGCTTATGCGAAATGGCCCGCAGTATCGGGGGCGGAGTTTCGGGGTGATGGGCAGTCGGAGATTTTGGGTGTCGAGTAAAACTAAGTCGTCGGGCTGGTAAGTGACAGGTATGCGGTGGCGGTCGGCGTTGCGTTTAGCGATGACGTTTGATTTTTTTAATTGCGTCTGCTGCCCTGGTCCGTGCTGCTTGCAAAATTTCGGCGAACTGTTGCGCGCGTGGAACCGGGTTGTCGGGATTCGGGGTCATGGGTACTGTTGGGTCTTGTCCGTAATTCAGGTAAAACGGTGACTGTTGGGTCGTGGCGGATGGGGCGTTGTTGTATGCGAATTCGATGAGTGGCAGTTGCTGTTCCCACGTGTTTGGGTCGTCGCACGTGGCCCGGATGAGCTGTTCCATGGTCTGATTTGTCCGTTCTGTCTGTCCGTCTGTTTCGGGGTGGTACGATGAACTAAACTGTAGTCGCGTGCCGAACTGCTGCCACAGGTTCCGCCAGAAGTTGCTGGTGAATTTCGTGTCTCTGTCGCTGATGATTGATGCTGGTATCCCGTGCAGTCGAACGACGGTAGAGATGAAGAGGCGGGCTGTTTCTTCGGCTGTGATTGATTTTTTGCAGGCTGCGAAGTGTGCCATTTTCGTCAGTCGATCGACGACGACCAGGATCGCGTCATTTCCACTCGCCCCGGCCGGTAACCCCGTGACGAAGTCCATCGTCACCTGCTGCCAAGCACGCTCTGGAGGTGGGATTGGCTGCAACTGTCCCGCCGGCCGCTTCCGTGTTGACTTCATGATCTGGCAAGTGGGACACGATGCCACGTGACGCTGCACGTCGGTCAACATTTCGGGCCAGTAATAATACCACTGCAGTTGCTGCCGTGTTTTCTCTACCTCGAAATGTCCCGAGGTAACCCCGTCGTGTGCCTCTTGTAATAGTAATTCCCATAGCAGTGTGTACCCTGGTACCCAGATGCGGTCGGTCCCGGCTTTTACGTAATAGACTCCCTTGGCTGCTGCGAACTGCTGCGAATTTCCTCCTGTGAAGAATGGGTCCGTTTGATATCCGTGGGTAAATAGTCCTGTCAGTAGCGGGCTGGTCTGGGCGAGTAGTATCGCGTGGATCTGGGCAGTGGGGCGGGTCAGTGCGTCGGCGATGTTCGAGGCTCCTTTTTTATAGGTGACTGTGTAGTGGAAGTTTGACTCAAGGAAATCGAGCCACCGAATCTGTCGTGGGTTGAGGTGGGGCTGTGCGCGGAGGTACTGTAGTGATCGGTGGTCTGTCCGTACTGTCACGTCTGCGCCGGTCAAGTAGCAGCGCCACACTTTGAACACATGCACGATCGCGAGCATTTCGCGGTCGTGTATCGGGTAATTTCGCTCGGGCGGATGCAGTTTTCGTGACTCATATGCGATGGGCTGTAGGCCGTTGCCGAACTCCTGTAGCAGTACGGCTCCAATGGCGATGTCGCTTGCGTCTGTAACAACCTCGAAGGGGCGGTGTGGGTCGGCGATGCGCAGGACGGGCGGTGAACAGAGAACATTTTTCAAGGCAGAGAAGGCAGCATGCTCTTTCTCCCCCCACGTAAAAACGACCCCTTTTCGCAGTAAATCCGTCAGCGGGGCAGTCAACTGTGCCATGTCGGGGACGAACCGACGAACATAATTAACGAACCCTAAAAAACTCTGCAGTTCCGTGATGTTCGTCGGGGGACGCCACGCTTTGACCGTATCCAGCTTCTTTGGGTCGATTTCAACTCCAGCCTCCGAAATAACGTGCCCAAAAAATTCTAGTCTGTCCCGAAAAAACTCGCACTTAGAGCCCTTGGTTAGTAACCGATGTTCCTCTAAAACTTTAAATACTGCTTCGAGATCCGCTAAATGCTGCTGCTTGTCGCGACTGTAGACGAGGATGTCGTCGAGGTAAACTATCACGCATTTATCTAAGAGTGGCCTAAACGCCTCGTTCATGGTCATCTGAAATGTTGCGGGCGCGTTGGTCAGCCCGAAAGGCATCACCGTATACTCAAACGACCCGTACCTAGTCCTAAATGCTGTCTTGGCGCAGTCCGATGGTTCGACCCGAATCTGATAGTAACCCCCCCGTAAGTCTATTTTCGAAAACACCCGTGCTGTTCGCAGTTGGTCGATCAGTTCGTCGGCGCGGGGAATGGGGTACCGCGACTTGACTGTTACTCTGTTGAGCGCTCGGTAATCGATGCACATGCGAAACCCTCCGTCTTTTTTCAGTGTGAACAGTATCGGTGCGGTGAACGGTGACGAACTTGGTCGAATAAACTGCTTCTCTAACAAATAATCTAACTACTTCCTCAGTTCGTCGAGCTCGGGCTGTGTCAGTCTGAACTGGCGCTGTACAGTTGGCTGTGCCCCCGGTTCTAACTCGATCCTATGATCATGCGCCCGCTGAGGTGGCAGCCCTTCCGGTAAGTTGTCTGGAAAAATCCCCGGGTACCGTTTCAACAGTTCCTGTAGTTCGGGCGGTACTGCTGCCAACAGTTTCTGAAAATCGCTCGGCTGCTCCGCTTCTACTACTAATGCTATATCTACTGCGTACACGTCAGCTCCAGCGGCGACAACCCGTTTCATCGTGATGGCGTTGACGTGGACCGTTGAAGACTCGGGCGACTGCCAGCGAGGTAGCATGACCCAGTTACCGCTACTTCGCACAGTGCAGCTACCCGTCGTCCAGTCGATTCGTGGGTTGTACCGTCGTAGCCAATCACGTCCCAGTAAAACATCATGCCCATCCAATGTCGTCGCGAGCATTTCCTGTGTAAACCCGAAGTTTCCCCCGCAGCGAACTTTTACTCTCTCCACCTTCTCCCGTATGGCCAGCGGCGTGCCGTCAACTAAGCGTGTGTCGATCTCAGGTAAGCAGCGACTAAGTGTGTCGGAATCTCTCTCTGTCTTGCTTCAGGTTGCCCGGCCTTGCCTCCTGTTGGCCCTGCCTCCTGTGCTCCTGATGCTGGGGTGTTGTCTCTCTTCTGCAATCTTCCTCGTCACTGCATTAGTGCCCTCAGCTCTCTGGGTACCTGCCTTGCCTTGCCACCTGCATCCTGCACTTAAAAGCTCCTCTACTCTCTGAGAGGAGATTGCTTCCACTGGGGGCTGAGCTCGGCAGACTCACTGCTCTTCCTTGGCTCAGATCGTGCTTGCTAGGATTGGCTCCACTCGTGCTAGGTGCTAGGGGTTTCGCCAGCCTGAATTGTAGCTTAGTGTGAAAACAAACTCGCAAGCAAAGATCCCCTACTTGCGCTACTGCTTAAGTAATTGTGAGCGGTGGTTACCGTTGCCGTGCAACGGTGCTTTCGCACGGCTCGCTTTGTGTTCCCGCTCGAGCATTCCCCTTTTCCCCCTTACTTCTCTACAGTCTATTACGCTCCTTCACAATGTCATGCACCTATCTTATTATATCTATACTAAGTATAAAAGCATGACAGCTGTCGGAATCTCTCTCTGTCTTGCTTCAGGTTGCCCGGCCTTGCCTCCTGTTGGCCCTGCCTCCTGTGCTCCTGATGCTGGGGTGTTGTCTCTCTTCTGCAACCTTCCTCGTCACTACATTAGTGCCCTCAGCTCTCTGGGTACCTGCCTTGCCTTGCCACCTGCATCCTGCACTTGCCCCCTCCTCGGCTGCCTAGCTCCTGCTGCAAGCCGATGGAC